ACGAACGAAGTAAGTAAGTAAAGAAGAAGTAGAGGAGGAGAGTGTGTGTGTGTGTGTGTGTGTGTGTGTGTGTGTGTGTGTGTGTGTGTGTGTGTGTGTGTGTGTGTGTGTGTGTGTGTGTGTGTGTGAGAATTAAGATAAGAGAACACTAAGAAAGAAGGCTGCTTACAAACTAATTATTACTAGCAAACAGTTTTATAATTACGTCAAACTATTTATTTATCCTGTCCTATACGATGGTGTGTGAGTGTGCTTGAGTGAGCACAGCATTTTTTTTAAACAACAAATGCTGAGATGCTACTTGACTAGATTATTGCCTTTGCCTGGCAGCAAACTCACACTTAACCATGTAGACTAACAGAAAGAAAACCGCACATTACGAGGAGTGTTTCAGTGAGACAAGACAGCATTTGTCCTAATTTGGTAATCCCTGTTCTACACATGAGAGTGAGAGATAAACCCAGGCAGGGCTGCACGGAGAGACCCCGTCCTGACACATTTCTCTTTTAACGTTCCTGATAGCCTTTGACCCTGAAACGGCTGCTTGTTTCAGGCTTATACACAGCCCATCCTTCAATGTTAAATCTTAAAGTGAAGCGGCAAAGAACTTCCAGCTCATTGATAAAAAAGTAGTAGTGGTAGTAGAGATATATTCACACCTTGAAAAAAATAAAAATGAAAAAAGGGAGAAAAAAAATGGATGATTTTTATTCTGACGGAGCATATTTGTATTGGTAACCTTTTCACAATTTCCTACATAGTAACTTGAATGTATTTGCTACCTTATTTAAAAAATGTGCAGACTGAACTAGACACTATAACAACAATTAAACTAGGTTAAAGTGAAATTATTCGCTATACTAAGTCATGCATACGGGCAGGAAATACTAACTCACATTTAACAAGCAGCAAACATGAGAAACACAGTTAGGCTAGCGCTAGCTTAAGATACTCAAGATTCAGACCACAAAAAGGACCCTGGCTGGTTTCTGTGGGAAAGAAGGAATGTGTTTTTGTTGTCTTNGCCACTGAGCCTGACTATTTGTGTTGGGGGGGCCCGACTTTTTTTTTTCTCCAAAGGGGGGGCCTGACAGAAAAAGTTTGAGAACCACTGCCGTTAGCTCCAGGTTAGCTAATACTTTAGAGCGGCCTCTCTAAAGTATTCACTGTCTGACTGTCACACAAGCAGCTGATACATATCCCCTATTCCCCTTAAGTGAATGTGTGTCAGTCTGAATTGACGCTGTTTGGCATCACAACGCTGTTATTAAAGTGTCTCTGGTATAAAATGGGTGATGTTGGCATAGCAACCGATAAGGGATAAACCTTCTTTTCTTTGCCAGGTCTGCCAGACAGAAACTATGATAACAAATACAAAAAAGCACATTTGAATCAATTGTTGTCAAAGAAACATTTAAGAAGTTAAAAATGTTTTATGAAACGCTGGGAAGAGCACCTCTCCGGCTCACTTCATGCCTGAAAAAAGATGCTTCTTGGACACGGGATCTAAGTATTCACCAACGTTTGCCTCCCTACATCAAAGGGCAGCGCACATGGCGTTTCATGTGAAGACCTTAATACACACCGGGCATGAAAACAGAGCAGGAGGGAGGCGCAGATCTGGGGACCTGCAGGTTTTCTGTAAAGGTTTTGTTGAAAAGGGCAGTGGCAAACAGACCATGCATCATCACATGTTGATGCGTTGACACTAACATTGTAGGTGTACATAGAAAACAAATAACAACAGTGTTTTGACAAAGACTGAATACTGAAAAAACTGAAACGTTGACTTCGATTAAATGTCAAAAGTGTTCACATAACTGTATTAGGTTAGTTGAAAGCAATAATATTGAGTTGAAATAAAAAAATAGTTCGTTCAACTTTTGCTTTCAAGTAACCTAATACAGTTAAGTGAAATTTGTTGACATAATACGTTTAATTACTCCATGAGGGCACCCCGTCTCCTAAAACTGTATTTATACCGTTAATTTAAAATGGCAAATGTGTTCTAAGGGAAATGAGAGTCAGGATTTGTTTGAGCTTAACTCCATTAGAGTCAATGATGATGTATTTGTTTTTGTTTTTCGTGTTACAAGGACATTACCGAATGTCCTTTGGCTGTCTGATTCTGAAACATTTTGCTTTATTTTGTGAATTGAACAGAGGACTTACTGTAAGTCTCTCAGACAAACACTTGACTCTGAATCATTCGTGACTTCAGGCCTCGACTATGACCTCAATGAGCTTTTTTCTTCTCAGCTGTTTTTCCCTACATCAGAAAAAGCACACGAGGCCGCGGTTTCTCCTGTAAGTACACAACGATCTCCTTCATGTTTCTTACGTTACAAATCACGTCTGACGTTGTTCTCCAGCCTTCGTCATGTGTTCGTCATCGAGGCTTTGTCTTAGCTGCTGACATCAGAACAGGGGCCTGAGGGTGTCTGTTTGTCACAAGGACTACAGCGTCATATCCATCAAACACAAGTAAACAACAACACATGGTGAGACAGCTGTGGACCTCTGACATTTATCAAAGAGACACTCAACGAAACTCACCACGCAAGGTCACAGAAAAGTGTGTTTGACAGTGGAGGAAAGTAACTCAGTACATTTATTTTTCCACTGCAGCGCGTAGCCGTAGCACGGTTTAAGCGTGCCGAGCCAAACTTAAGTATAAAATATCCTCTTGATATTTATCTCTTGTTTTCATTTGTATTGCTTTTGACATTGAGCTAATCCAAAGGTAAGGTAAAGTATTCAGGTTACATTACTTTTAGATTTGGATACTCAGATTAATTAAAATAATTGTAAACATATTACATTTTTAAAGTAACCCTCCAAACCCTGGTAATGGAGTATTTTAAGAACACATACATTTTACTTTTACTTAAGTTAAACGATCTGAGTACTTCTTCCGACCCTGATGTTTGATTCTTGAAGCACTTTTTTTATTTTTAAAAGTAGAGAAATGTATGATCAAAAGAAGAAACAAGGTCTCTCAAACAGACGCTCATTTCACAGTCCTGTAGGAGTTACAGAGAGGCTGTGGATCCATTGGGTCCTTAAGGGCATGTGAATAACAAATGAGAACCATTTTTTAGTGGGAGTGATTAGGTTGGTGGGGGATCGACTGCTTCACTCTCCCCGGGGGGTCACCAGCAGATCAGAGGTGGGAAGTAGTGGAGTACAAATACTCTGCTACTGTACTTAAGTTATTTTTCTGGTATCAGTACTTTACTCCACCACTTATTTTTCTGACGACTTTTAACTTTGACTTCTTACATGTTGAACCCAAATACCTGTACTATCTACTTCTTACATGTTGAACCCAAATACCTGTACTTTCTACTTCTTACATGTTGAACACAAATACCTGTACTTTCCACTTTTTACATGTTGAACTCAAATACCTGTACTTTCTACTTCTCACAT